CAGGAAGTGGAAAGGTGAGCATCCGGGACAGGCCCATCCCATATACTATTTTATCAGACCCCCCTCCTTCATCACAACACCTCCACTACGATACGCACAATGGACGACGAGGTTTTCATCATGGAAGTGGAAAAACACAATTTGATATGATGTAACCAATGCTTACTACAAGGACAACATCAGAAAGGACAAGGCCTGGTTTATAGTCGCTGCAGTTTGTGGAGTGGAAGGTAATAACTACATATTAATGTTTTAAAGTGAATTAATACCCGAATTAAACCCGAATCAATAACAAAACTGCGAGCCTGCACGCACGACGCTACGCTTCTGAAACGCTTCTGGGACGCGTCCGGTGGGTTATGGCGCTAGACCAAAACCGCGGCGCAGCTGTGACGCGGCGCACTGGGCGCAGGCGGACCCAGTGGAAACTGGGGGTAAGTGTGGAAACTCCGTTTTTTTTTTTTTATAATTTGTTTTGGGCCAGAGTGCCTTTATTCCAGAGAGGGTGTTAAATTGAGAAATAGAGGGGAAGAAATTGCCTGAAAACTTCGGTGGGCTCGGGCTTCTAACCCACTTACTAGCTACTGTCGTGAGAACTCCTGTCATTAGCCACGTTCACACCGCGTACTTTGCAGTACTTAGTGCCGGCACTTATTACCCCAGGGCACTAAGTACCAATCGCGTTCACACGGAGTACTTTTCCCTGAGGGAAGATTACGCAAATGAGCCGCTGACGTCACTTCGTCTTCTTCTGCTTTGGGTTTGCTGGCAGGCTGCAAACAACTTCACCGCGTATACTGAGGCCCAGCAGCTTCTACTGAAGCCTTCCGAGTAAATCGCCAGAACGCCGACACCTCCTCATCACTCCACCGCTCCCATGTTATTTTTTGTGTTGCCATAAGTTATTCTCTCTCCGTTGGTGGGCTGGGCTAATGCTAATAATGCTAATGCCACAAATACAATGGCGGCTTCACAAAACTTTTCAGTTTTACGGGGCGTGGTTTATAATTCGCCCAGCCAATCAGAACTGGGGTACTTTTTCCCCCCAGGATAGTACCACCTCTCTAGCAGGCACTACAAATGGGGGAAAAAGTTCCGGGCACTAAGTTCTCTTTTTGGTGTGAACGCAACATAAGGGGTACTAACGGAACTAAACGGGAAAAGTTGTTTTTTCTCAATACTTCGCCCTGTCATATCAGAGAAAACGTTTATTTCGGAGGCCTCCTTCTGCTTTCACATAAAAAAATCAACAGTAGCATTAAAAAAAACAACTGGTGATCCAACTAATACATCCGGTGGAACCACCTTCCAGGCCAAGGGAACAGAAGGTGTGAAAACAGGACCGTAAATTAGAGTTTAATTTATATTCCAACTGTTTTCGATTCTGCACCAGCATGTCAACTGTGATATGAACAACCCTTCCTTTGATCAAACTCCAAATAAAGACAAAACGTTTGCTGCTGCTTGACAGCTCTTTTAATTAAACGGGCGTTCCTCACCTGCGGCGTGAAGATCTTGGGGTTGGACAGGAAGTGCTGGCGGAAAACCTTGATGATGAGGTCGAGCTCTCGCAGGTACTGACGCTCCTCGGCGATCTCCAGACGCACCAGGTCGTCGTACGTGAGTTCCCCCGAGGACGAGGGCTCCTCCGTGCACTGAGACATGAGACCGATGTCCTCCTCCTGGTCGAACATGTCCATCAACACCTGCAGAAACAAGTAATCGAATCAAAGCTAATTCTTTATCAGATCGAATGCTAAAGGGTCTTTGAAAATGTTCTCTCTCAGCGATTGTGCCGTTATGTTAAATGTTTGTTTTTGGTTTTTCATGTATCGTGTCTTGATATTTGTCTACATTTCAGATTTAATCGGACCATTAGAGTATTATTGTATCGTATCGTTTATGATGTTTCAGAAATGACCACAACCTGCAAGCATCAAACTGCAAAATTGGATGAAAGCTATGAGAGATCTTTTACCTTTTTTTCACACAGGGGAGAGTAAAGAAGTGTCCAGACATTAAAAGAAATGGCTTAAATAATAGTTACTTGTTCAAATTAGCTTCAAGTGTATATAGCGTAGATACCAGGGGTAAATTAAGAGCAATTACTAACTTCATAAAACAAAAATAGGGAATATATGGATAGGGAAAGTATCGCTCGTTTGCCAGAAAACATACATCTGGAAACAAATATGTGAATTTCAAAAGAAAATATGAAGCTTTTGTTAAAACACCTCCTAACTATGTCTCAGGAATACAAATTTAATGGACATTTAGTAAAAGTAAACATGTATTCAACATCTAAAAACAGATCAATGATACTGTCAAAGTACTAAAGATGCCTATTTGAATTTTTGCTGTAATGTGATCCAGAGTAAAGGAGACATGTATGTAAATAAACATAAGTGATGTAAAGATATGCTCATTGTACTAAAACCTATATGTAAAAAAAATTATATTACAATAAATACAGGGTGTTTAAGTATCAATAAGGGTAATAATCATTCAATTACATGTTACTTGTTAGACGCTTTTATCAAAATCGACTTACATACTCAATACTGTGGGCGATTTAATCCCCACAGGAGCAATTTGGGGTGAAGTGTCTCAGGGACACAACGACATGCTGACTGCAGTGGGGTTTGAACCTGATCCCAACACCAAAGCACAACCCACTGCACCACACGTTTCCCCCCACGTAATCCCTAGTATTATACGTTTTGCACAGTGGTGTAACTGCACAGGTTTTAAAATGTCATGCATGTGTTAGTATTGCACAGTTTAAGCTGCTGATTGGGGGCGTTACCCTCACCTTGTCTGCACACATGGACACCTTGATGTCCTGCTGGCTGATCTCGTAGTGCCGGATGTTTCCCACGTAGTTTCCCGCCAGTTTCAGGATATCTGCTGATATGTATTCGAGCACAGCCACGATGTACAGCGACACATGGTAGTCCACTTTGTAGCCCAACACCTCCTGTTGAGACACGAGAGAAAAAAGCAGTATATTAAATGATGGGTTAAAGCCAACCGTATGTAAAAGGAGTTAAAAACATCTACAGATCAAAACATTTGAAAACAATCCCAAAAATATAAAAAAGTATGAAAAGAAACAACAATTTATAAAATAAGTCAAAAACATTCACAGCAGTAAAATGCAATTTATACATTAATGCAATATAAGACCAAGACAAATGTACATTTAGCTGATCTATACTTTGACTTAAAGGTGGGGTAGGTAATTCACTTCAGAAACACTTTGTTATATCCCATGGAATGCTCTTAAAGGTGGGGTAGGTAATTTTGGAGAAACCAGCTTGAGTGCGCTAGAATTTGAAAATACACAGCCGGAACAAATCAGCCACTTCCTACAAAGCCCCTCCCCATGGCCCCTCCTCCAACACACACGAACGCGCACATGACCAATGAGAGCACGAGATAAGTGTGTGCACAGATGGAAGGCTGACAGGCAGGTAGGCCATCCAGTTACTTTAGCCAGGCCGGCTCAGATGATTGGTCGTGCTTTTCACAGCGCCACGGCTTCCACAGATGATATTTTTTTATTGTCATAGCATTTAATATATTCATTGCTATCGGGATGTTAAGAGCATTCCATGGAATATAACAAAAAGCGTTTCTGAAATAAATTACATACCCCACCTTTAAAGTGGACCTATCATGCTATATTTGAATAATATAGTGTAGGACCATACCTATATAAGGCGTATTT